GGTCAGAAATACAGTTCTTGGGGTCTTGCAGTGGCCACCTACAGTCATTGACCCAGAGTACTAAGAAAAGAAAGTACCTTCCTTTGTATCCTCCGGCTAGTGCCTGGCACATAGTAAGCACTTAACAATGCTTGTTGACTTGACTTGTACAGCATCACATGGCCCATTTATGTCATAGGCAGAACTTAAACCCAGGTCTTCTGAGGTTAGCTGTCTATCCATTAAGTCATAACTGCCACTCATCATAATAGTATTCTAACTCAGCTTTTGCCTCTGAGACCTCCTGAATTGCTCTTAAAGATTGTTAACCCCAGTTAGAGAAACTCTGGACTAGGTGATTTGCTATAAGATAGACACTGTCATAACCTGGTTAGTCTGATGCCCCTTGTTCACCGCACATTCTGCCTTTTCCCCATAAGTCATTGGGTTCAGTGCTGCAGCAATCAGATGGTTGCTTTTGTTTGAAAACAAAATGAAAATACAGGTGGACCCCACTACATGAAGATATTCTCTACATCTGATCTTCTGAACATCTGAGCTTAGGTAGGTAATATATCCTAATATTCAGTAAATATTTGTTGATTGACTGATAGGATTCCTGGATTTCTTAATTTATGAAGAATCAAAGTTCTGGTAGGAGAGATCAAGTGTGTGTTACCTGCCTCTGATGTTTTTCTGTTAATCATGATCAAAAGGTTTTTCCCAGAGACATGCCCTGGGAGTCCAGCTTGGGGTTCAAGTGGGCACGCCTTTCCTCCCCTTAGTTCCCATAATTTTTAGCATTTAAATTTTCTTATTTATAATATAGTTAAAGATTGGTGAGTTTTTTCTCAAACACTCCCATTTTGTTAGGTGGAATATAGTTTCATTTATGTTGTTGTGAGCATAGATCATTTCTTGGTAATCATAGCGCACAAATCTCTAGAACCCAAACTCTTCCCAACTTTTGAACTTCCCTCTTATTGCTGAGGCCACTCTCATCTTCTTAGTCATTCAGGTTCTCAACCATCCTTTCGATAACTCAAGTTTATAACCTCAGTGATGCTTCCTTCCCACTTTCATTTATCTCACAGAGGTCTAGTAAACTGCCAAATCTTGTCATTTCTGCGTTTACAATGTGTCTCCCATATGTCTCCTTTTCTCAGCTCACACAGCCACCATCTTAAATTATGCACTAATCATCTCTTGCCTGAACTTAACAGTCCATTTCTCCCTTCTCCCATCCCCCAAACTGCATCCAGGTTTATTAAAGATTCTTTTCATAAATAATCACAGAAGTTCAGGCAGGTCATGGGCTATTTTTAGTAACAGTATGCAATGACTTTCCGTCTCCTCTCTTCCATGGACTATGAGAAACATAAAGTGATTCTAAAACCTAGTGAAGAATCTTCATTTTATACATTAAGCAGGGAAGGGAAAGGAAGGGGAGGGGAGGGGAAAAGGGAATAAGTATTCACACAGTGCCTACTATGTGCCAGGCATTGTGCTAACTGCTTTACACATATTATTTCATTTGATTTAATTTGGAGTAAAGGTGGATATTTTTACATTTAGTACACATTGTTTGATAATTTTTCATAAGCCTACTCTAACCTTGAAGAAATGAAATGAAAACTACAGAATTCTTATTCAGAAAAGAGCCCTCAAATAAGAAGAAGGAACTGCCACTCTTTTGGGTGAGGTCATCTCAGGTCTGTCATCGAACTCCAGATTGCCTGAAAGATTGCGGTATCCAACAGAATTATTTGGGGGAGGGGGAGTACAGTATGTGGAGAAAGGGAAAAAAATGAGGGCAGGTCCTGAGGGGCCCCTGTGTTTTAAGGACTACAAGAAATACAAATTAATTTTAAAAGTTATCCACTTCTGTGCCCACCAGACTACATCAGTAGTCACACCAGTACATCAGATATGTGTATGTGTGTATGTATGGGAGGGTCAGGGAATCTCTTCCTAGTATCTCTTTATTTACATGTTGTTTCCTCCATTAGAATGTGAGCCCCTTGAAGGCAGGGACTGTTTTTGCCATTTAAAAAAAATATCCTTTTTTTAAAAAAATATCCTCAGTACAACAACTCTGTGAAGTATGTGGTACAAATATTATCAATATTTTATACATGAGAAAACTAAGCTTCACAGAGATTAATTTTCTCTAGCATCTGTTGGTATCAGGTCTTGAACCTGGATCTTCTAAGTCAAAGTTTGGTCCTCTTTCTGCTGTATACTTTGTCTTAATATTACTCTTTCCTCATAGTCTGCTTTTAGAACGTCAAAGTTTTTATTTGCAACATTTGTTGGAAGATGTCAGAATTTAGTTATTATCCATATTTAATCTTTATTTACTAACAGCCCTTCATAAGAATACATAACTATATTTGCCTTAAAATTTCTAAATTAGAGGTATTTGTGCTTTTTTATAGCCTTATTTATATGTTTTGATAATCTTTTTGTTGTTGAATTGTTTCACTTGCATCTGGTTCTTCATGACCCCATTTAAGGTTTTCTCAGCAACACTAGAGTGGTTTGCCATTTCCTTCTCCAGCTCATTTTACAGATAAGGAAACTGAGACAAAAAGGGTTAAGTGACCTGCTCAGGGTCACACAACTGGCAAATGTCTGAGGCCAGATTTGAACTTACAAAGATGAGTCTTTCTGATTCCAAGCCCAGTTTTCTACCTTCTGTACCACCTAGCTACACTTGACAACCTTACTTATCGACTATGTTTCTTTTTAAAAAAAATTATTGTTTCCTCAGTTACATGTAAGGCAATTGTTAACATTCATTTTAAACAAATTTTGAGTTCTAAATTTTCTCTCTCCCTCTCTCACCTCCCCCCTCCCTGAGACAGTAAGCAATTTTATATGGGTTGTATGTGTTCAATCATGCAACACATATTACCAGAATATGTTTTTTTATTTTCAGGTTATGAGCTACAACAATATCAGTAGTTTATTTTTAAGAATTGGAAATTTGCTTTTTATTATTATTAATAATTATGACAATACATATACTGTGTTAAGGATTCTCTTTTTTCCCTGATTATTTATAACAAAGAAAATATGAAATATGATCCAATCAAGTAAAGCTAAGCTGTCAAGTTAAAGGTTTTAAAAATAAATTTATAGAATCAAGATATAGAAAAGATCTTAAAAATTATGTCATCAAACGCTCTCATTTTACAGATCTTAGTTTTAGGACTGGAAGAGTCCTTAAGACTTCCTCATATTACAGAGGATGAAACTGATGAGGCTTAGATAAGTAAAATAATTCACCCACAAGTCACCTAGCCATCAGATGGCAGAGATAAGATTTGGACCCAGGTCCTTTGATTCCAATTCCAGTGTTTTTTACCTCTCCACTAGAGATTGGTAACCCAGCGTGGTGGTTGTTGTTGATGGTGTGTTTTAAGATTTTGATAATTGCATTTCAATACAATTGGGTTTTTTTTGCCATCATAGGTGTTTTTATGCGTTTAAAAACCTTATTCTGAAAAGGAATCTATAGGCTACACAAGGAACAGCTAGATGGCTCGGTGGATAGAGCATTGAGCCTGAAATCAGGAAGACTCATCTTCAGAAGTTCAAATCTGGTGTCAGACACTGACGAGCTGTGTGACTCTGGGCAAGTCACTTAACTCTTTTTGCCTCAGTTTCCTCTTCTGAAAAATGAGCTGGAGAAGGAAATAGTAAACAACTCCAGTATCTCTGCCCAGAAAACCCCAAATGGGGTCACAAAGAGCATGAAACAACTGAACAACAGCAACTTTCACTGACAGAATTAAAGGTTAAAAACCACCCTTGTTCCACACCAAAATAATATTCTAAGAATATAATTGCTTTACTCAAGATCCCACAGCTGGTTACTCAAGTCACAAAGCTGAGACTGTAATCCATCTGTGAAAGAAAATATAATTTGTGGTGCTTTTTAAGAAAACAAATGACTTCTCCCTTGCTTCCTCCCTTCTTCTTCCTCTCTCCTCCCTCCAAAGCCCCATCAGTACGAACTTGCTGATACAGTGTAAAGGAGTATTTTAGATTGAATTTTTGTTATTTTGTTGTCAGCTTAAAGACCCAAGATGGGAGAGGTGGGGGAACCTTTGAGAATTTGTTGTAACTTTTTAAATATAAGATATCTTATCTTATTAAGAGGGACAGCATGCTAGGAAGAACAAAGATTTTGGAGTCAAGAGAGACTTGGGTTCAAATCATGCTTTGGACTGCGGCTACAGACTAGTTGCCACAATATTTTCTTTCTCTTAAGTCACAGCTTCATCTGTAAAATAGAGGATAATATAAATACTTATAGCATCTGATTTATACAGGGTTGTGTGCCTGGCACATAGTAGGTTTTTAATAAATGTCAATAAGTAAGTTATATAAATGTCAGCCATTATTATTTTTATGATAAAGTTAAACAAATTAAAATACCAGCATATTTATAGAATCATAGATTTAGAGCAGGAGTTCTTAATCTTTTAATTTATCTTGGACCCCTTTGGAAGTCTGGTGAAGCCCATGGACCCTTTCTCAGAATAATATTTTTAAATATTTGAGAGGTTAGTGAGAGTAAAGGTGTAGGGTTTTTTAATTCCATTCAAGTTCAGAGACTTCCTAAAATCTATCTATAAACTCCTTGGGGGTGACTCCATGTTAAGAACAGATTTAGAAATAAAAAGGATCTTAGAGGTTAAGTCCAACCCCCTCATTTTGCAGATGAGGAAACTGAGGCACAGAGACATTAAGTGACTTGCCCAGGATCACACAGTTATTAATGTCTGAGGTGGAGCTTTGAACCCAGGTCTTTCTGACATACTGCCTCTCATAGGTTTATCTAGCATTTTGAGTTTGAACTGGATGTGCATGTATTTTTTGTGGTAACTTGTGTGCTCTCATTATGTATTCTCTCTCCCTCCCTCTTTCTCCCTTTCTCTCTCTCTCC